CCCCAAAACCCCAAAACCCCAAAAACCCCAAAACCCCAAAACCCCAAAACCCCTTATTTACCGAAAGGTATTGAGCCAAGCAATTAGTAGCTACGTCATCTCTATATAATTTTTGACTAAAAATCTTATCAGGAATAGGCGTTTATTCTGTGGTGTCTGTGTGTAAACTAATAGCTTTGAGTTCTTCAATTGTCTTCTCTTCAGAAGTAATGTCGTAGTACTTCTCTAAGGCTCCTTCATCCCATTTCTCAGAAAGTCACTCTAATGGGGCTAAGGAAACGTCGTGTCTAATATGGGAGAAGAGGGTGGATGATACTCTCCAAACTGGAGTGTCTGGGTGTTCCTCAATCTTCTTTTGAACTCTCTCTTTTGTTGCGTCTGTGTAGACAACTTCGTGGAATCCAGCTTTAATGAATCCACCGGTGAGCCACTCGATTTGAATCCCACTTTGGATAAGAAGGCACCCATCAGGAACTTTGACAGACATCTTTGTTCCATCCTTAAGCCAAATGAAGAGTCCTGGGTATCTAGATTTTCCATGGATAGTTAAGAAGTTAAGATCATAATGCACTCCAGCAAAAACAGTTCCTTTATCATTCTTTGTTAAGTCACTTCCTGTGGGAGCAAGAAGGTGGGGTCCCAATTTCATCTTGCTTGAAAAAGTATCTTGATCAATTCCAAGACCGACAGCAAGCATCTCAGCAGCAGCTGTACATGCATCGATCATCATGTTACCCCATTTGTTCATTTTTGGCTCCCAATCTGAGATATCTCCTGGGACAATGTTTTCGTAAAGCTGTTTCTTATCTTCGGGCCTTTCTCCAATATGCCAGAAATATCTCCACTTAGCATCATGCTCAGGAGGACACTCAGAAAGAGGCTTGTTTGGGCCTTCATAATCCTCAAATCTCTTGCAGTGGTTCCTTGCCTTCTCAATATTCTCAGGAGTGACTCCAACCTGGTAGTGAATATCAGGTCTTGCTTCCTTAAGTTCCTCATTATTGTAAAACATTTCCCCTCTAGACAAGAAGTAGTTCTCTAGGAGGTCAATGTATTCTTCGTTATCTTTCTCGTCAATTCTGGGGTCTTTCATGATGAGAATTCCGTAATCTTTGAGGGACTGGAGCACCTTCTTGCACTCCTCTTCCTTCTCCTCGGTGTTATCGAGGAAGGCAGCTACATTGATAACTGGGGCTTCACAGACTTCCATTTTTATTGATGTTAAAGTATTTGTGACTCAGCCACGCGTCCTTATAGCGGGGTTTTGGGGTTTTGGGGTTTTGGGGTTTTGGGG